TTTCATTTTGTACTTTAAATTTTGAAAGACATTTATATAGTTTATTTATGAATAAATAAACGATTTTTTGTTTGTGATTAGAGATGCATTCATTCCTAATTTTTGCTAAACATCTGAGTTTTGAAGAAAGTCGGGTCGTTACAAGAAGAGCCCGACTGAATAAAATGGGGATTAGGGTTTATAAGGCTCAGTATTGGGCTCAAGATTTTGGGCTTCTGCAATTTGTGCCCATATATTTAGGGGAAAAAAAAACTTTTCGCAACACTTAACGAACGTTGCAAAAAGTGAAATTTTTCGCAACATTCAGCGAACGTTGTGAAAGGTAAAACTTTTTGACAATATTAATAAATGCTGTAAAGGGTGAAACTTTTCGCAACAATTAACGAACTTTGCAAAAAGTAAAACTTTTAGCAACATTGAAGAAACGTTGCAAATGTTATATATTGAGAAGTTCAACAACATGCACTAAATGTTACTATAGATACAAATTTTAACAACGTTCAAAACACGTTGCAAAAATAAAATTTTTTTGCAACAGTCAAAAAACGTTACAAAAGGCTACATTAGCAACATTCATTTATANGTTCAAAACACGTTTCAAAAATAAAATTTTTTTGCAACAGTCAAAAAACGTTACAATAGGCTACATTAGCAACATTCATTTATAAAATGTTGTAAAAGCTCAATTATGTTTATTAATTGCAACATTCACTTATTAAAATGTTGCGATAGACTCTTTTAGCAGCATTTATTAGCGAATGTTGTCTTTTGTGTGTTTGAAAAGGCTATTTTTGTTTTAGTGTTTGGAGAACGTGTGATTAAAAAATGATGAAATTTTTTTAAGTTTACGTGTAATATTATTTTATTGAAGAATATTTGATTTATAAAAAGTGAGAAAAATGAATTTTAATTTGATGGGATCAAAAATGCTTAATGGGATAATGATGTGATAGACTAGAATATCACATAGCATGAACATGAATGATGAACCCTTGGCATCTTTTTAGGAGAATACAGTAGTTAATTGGCGTGAATCTTGAAACTAGATAATATTTTTTTAGGAGAACACATTTGTTAATAAGTAATGTCATTCATTCTTAGTGAGGATCTAGACTGTGTTTGTAATTTCAGCGAGATGAATAGTATTAGTCTTTGTTAATTGATTGGTATTAATCATGATAAAAATAAATAATTAATTATCTCTTTATGTATCAACAAACATAAGACGACAATATAATAGTTAATTGGTTGGCGTGAGTGAACCTTGATAAGGACAACAATTTAATTGGTTGGCGTGAGTGAACCATGATAATGACAACAATTTAATTGGTTGGCCTGCGTGAACCTTGATAATATTTTTTTAAGGAGAATACATTTGTTAATTGATTGGCGTGAAACTTGATAAAAATAGGTAAATAAAAAATTCTCTCTTTCTGCATCAGCAAACATCTCTCTCTCTCTCTCTCTCAGAGCTCTGCAGATATATGTCTGAATAGGAAATATACTAATTGAGCAAAAGAGAAATGACAGGTGAACAGCAGCAAAAACATTTTGTTCTAGTACATGGCATTTGCCATGGAGCTTGGTGCTGGTACAGGCTACAATCACTGCTGGAAGCGGAGGGCCATCGAATCACGACGATTGATCTCGCAGCCTCCGGCATCAACATGAAAAGCCTAGACGAGAGTCGCACATTTTTCGACTATACACAACCGTTGTTTGAGGTGATGGAGTCTATTCCAACAGACGAAAAGGTAGTTCTAGTTGGACATAGTCTTGGTGGCCTGAACATCGCTGCTGCAATGGAGAAATACCCTCAAAAAATTTCTATTGCGGTTTTTATTGCGGCTGTGATGCCTGATACTGTACATAGGCCAATCGATTTTTTTGAAAAGGTAAAATTATACTGAATAACGTTGTTTGAACAGGCTCAATGATAGGCCACTTTTTGACATATTGATTAGACAATTTTTTATTGGCGGTATTTTGTTTAATTTTTTTTAACTACCAATGAAAATTCTCCAAGTGTATCTATGTATAGAAATATGTCATTGAATATGTTCCTATAGCAGAAATGAATTGTTCCTGCACTTAGAAATAGCTTATTATCCTAGAATTGAAAAGTATTAGGAAAGAAAACAGTAATTAATTAATTTTTTTTAAATAAAATTCAGGAATTTACGAAATTCATAGAAATCCTTTAATTAAATGTTCGTTTGATTAGATTGTGTTGGAACTTCGTTATGAACTGCAACAAAAATATTAACATATTTTTCAGGCTTTAATCATCAAAAAGGATTAACCAGTAATTAGAGATGACAATATTTATTTTTATAAAAAAAAAAAAACGACGACATAAATTGTTTTGAAGCAAAATTTATTTGAGCAAAAAAAAGTGATTTTTTTTATTTTTTATTTTTATAAATTTCACTTAAATTACTTACATTAACTTGCTTGGCAGGCATTTGAAGGAGCCACGGAGGAAGATCTTATGGACAATCAAATCGTACCATTTGGAAGACCCGAAGATCATCTTGTATCAATGCTCTTTGGCCCCCAGTATGCATCATCCAAATTATATCAACTCTGCCCTCCTGAGGTAAAAAAGAATTTATGGTAGAATCAACGGTAAAAAAAAAATTCAAAAGAAGTTGAGGTGAATGAAAACATTCTCCTTTTTTTTTTTAAATCAAACATGACGATAAAAACAGTGCACTTCAAAGTTTTCATTTTAAATTTCCATTAACTTAGAAAATTAAATGTCTGAAATAAAAATATAGAAATTTAAAGTTTAATGACTAATTTACAACAAAGGAAAAGTTGAGTGATCAAAGTGAAACACTTCTTCTATACGTTGAGTGACCAATGAAGGTTTTCAATCATTATGGTAGGATGTGGTGTTAGCAAAAGTATTGATGAGGCCGACCCTAATTTATCGGGAAGATTTTTCAAAGATGAGTGCATTTTCTAGTGAAAAGTACGGATCTGTAAAGCGTGCTTACATCATAACCGGTGAAGATAAAACCATAAAAGTAAAGTTTCAACGTTGGCTAATTGAAAATGTCGGAGCTACAATAGTGAAAGAGATAAAAGATGCTGATCACATGGTAATGATCTCAAAGCCTCATACACTTTGCCAATATTTATTGGATATAGCTTGGGATGGCAAAGTCCCTCGTCCCTGACCTGCCATGGTTGAACGAGGCGGGACAAGGTGAGGTAATCTTCCGTCATGTTTATTACCTCGTTTATATTTTATTTATATTTATATTTTTACTTTTATTTAAGTTCTGGGATGATTTGAAAATTTGACTTGGGTAATCAATTATGTTCTACTGAAATTCTAAACCAATTTCGAGTCAGTCTCCTTTCCATCCCATCCCCAAATAGACATCCTCGAATCCAACAGGCAATTTAAGCTTTGTGTTTTAACAAGTGTTTAGGCCTATAGGCCTCCAATTGTAATTGTTTGTTATGGGCTAGTTCAGTCCTATCGTGTCTTGTCTATTTTATCTTATTTTGTTTTGTGTGAAATGTTCCATTATGAATATTAATTCCTGAAATACTATGCTTTTTGTGAAATATAAAAAAATAAAATAAAGCTTATCTTATTTATTCAACTCCCCACACCCACACCCCCACCTCCATCCCAAACTTAAACCAAAATCACAGAGTCACCATATAGAAGGACTGTGCGATACTAAGGTTAAATTCAAAGCTAAGAATTGTAATAGAAAAATAGCAAATTACACCAATTACACATTTAAAAATAAATATTCAAAACTTACTAATATATACTTTCCATTTATACTGTAATATAATAGTATAATTAAAAATCTGCAAATCACTTAACTCCTTTCTATCCTTCAATTAATTAACGGTTCTTATTCAATCGGCACTTAAATCTCAAGTAATTATATTAAATTCTCAAATCCATCCATAAAGTACTATTTGTATCAACTCATTCCTACAATTAAATCTCAATTAATTATATCAAATTCTCAAATTTTTCATAAATTACTCTTTATATCTACTCATTCCCAAATTGAAACTTCACCTTTTCTCAACCCTTCCTGGATATCAAATGGCATCGCATTGCATAGTGGTGATTTATCCTGTTTGGTAGTCATTTTTTAAAACATTGTTTTGAATAGTGATTTTTTGAAGAATGTGTGGTTAAAAGTAGCGCAAAACTTTAGATTTATGTGTAGAACATTTTATTGTTTGAATGTATGGTTGAAAATGAGTACGTAAAAAAGAGTTTTGAAAGAAAAGGCTTAATAACCTTTGTAGAAATTTTTGTCATTTTCTCCGACTACATGAAGAACTATATTTGGCTATCCATTATAACCAATGTCGGTGTCCTCTACATTATGACTCATAACTCGATCGATTTAGAAAAAGATGGGCCAACTCACCAACCAACCGAGCTACTCGCAACTCTTTGAGATGTGCCTTGCCTGTTGTTCATTAGTATGTTTATCAAAGTAAGCCAATAACTCTTTTTTATAATTTCTCACCAAACATAATAAGACTAAGCACTATTGTGCTTATTTCATTTTAAAATAGCATATGCCCTGTTTCTACACGACCTAACGTTATTTGTCCCACATGTTTCGGTTTTATACCACGTGACATTTGTCATTACGAGTAGACGTTTGAATTAGATACCAAATCATCACTCTGCTGTTAGTGAACACAATGACTATTGATTGTTTGACTAGATTGAATTATTTCTCATGTTCGAACCGTTAAGGCAACAATACAAAAATATAGAGAGAATAACAAAAAAGGAGGCTACGATTTTTTGATTAATCGAATAAATGAAATGACAAGAAAATAAAGCTTTAAATACTAACATAAGTAAAATGACTAATCTACCCTTGAGATAAAATTAAAATAATATATTTAACATCTCTCCTCAAACTCATGATATTGTTGTAAGAAGTATCGAGAGCTTGCCAAACAAAAAACGAAATCGTGAAATAGAATGTGGCTTTGTAAATAAGTCAACAATCTGCATGGTGGAAGGAACAAAAGGAAATGTGATAGTGCCACACTGATGATGATGTCGAGTGAATTGCGAAAAATTTGAATTGCACTCTTATTGTCACAATACAATGGAGAGGAATGGCGAAGAAGTACACACATATCTACAAGTAACCAACGTAACCAAACTATCTCACTAGTAGTAAAAGTCATGGCACGATACTCTGCTTCAGTGGAAGACCTAGAAATAATATCTTGCTTCTTGCTCTTAGCATGTGCAATATCTAGACAAGGGATAGTAAGATAAACCAAGCTACCAACAACAGTACGATATAAACTAGGATCAGATAATGGAGAGCAATTAGAAGAAGAATATCGAGCATTAAGCTCAAGAGGCGTATCAACAATTTTATTATCAGTAAGATGAGCACATTCAAATCTTTCATTGGAAAGATGCAACTTCAATACCCAGAAAGTAACGAAGTGAGCCCAAATCATTCATTACAAAGCAACGAGCTAACTCTGACTCTAATTTTGCAATATCAATATTATCACTAGTAATAATCATATCATCAACATATAAAGAAAGCAAAACATGACCGACGACTGTATATCTATAAAATAAAGCTGAATCATGATGGCTAGAACGGAAACCAATTGAAGTAATAACAGTGGAAAACTTCTCAAACCAAGCTCAATGTACCTGTTTGACACCGTAGAGAGGTTTGTGAAATTTGCAAACTTCACCAGGTTGATGAGAAACCCCAGGAGGGGAACCATATAAACTTCTTCTTATAGATCTCCATTCAAGAATACATTTTTAACATCCATCTAAGATATACGCCATCGACGAATAGAAACAATTGCAATAAAGGTGTGAACAGTAGTCATCTTTGCAATAGGTGTAAAAGTCTCCTCATAATCCATACCATACTCTTGAGAATACCCCTTTGTAACTAATCGGGCCTTATATCTTTCATTAGATCCATCTGACTTGGTTTTGATTTTATAGACCCCAACGAAAACCAATTGCTTGTTTCCTAGTGGTAGAGATACCAAGTCTCAAGTATGTGTCTAATGTAGAGTAGTATCATCAGCCATAGCTTTCTGCCAAAGTGGATCACAAACTGGCTCTCTATAGGACAAAGTCTCAGAAAGACGATGAATAGAAACTAAAAAAGAAATAAAAGAACTAAAGTAACAAGAGTAAGCAAAGTCTGGTAATTAAGAGGACTTACGAGTACATGTAGGATAACGAAGAGAATGTACCCTAGTCTCAAGAGGTGATTGGGCAGCCATAGGATGGGAGGGAATAATTGAAGTATTAGGAGCCAAGGTACCAGTATCTATAGAACTATCAATAGGAACATGCAAAAATCATCATCTAAAGTGGAAGTAGATGTGTGTGGAACAAGAGGTGGGACAAGTTCAGTATCAACATCAAATGGATCAATGTGAATAAGATCTGACTTAATCATGTTATGAGAACTATGAGGAATAATAAAGAAAGGTATATGTTCAAAGAAAATGACATGACGAGAGATATAATTTTTAACCAACTGGATCAAAACAACGATATCCCTTTTGCCCTACACCATAACCCAGAAAGACATATATAACATATCTAGATAATAATTTACTACGCTCATCATGAGGTCGAAGGACAAACCAAAGACACATAAGAAAGTATAATCAGGAGCATATCCATACAACTTTTCAAAATGAGACAAACCTAAACTATGTTAGGTTGGGATCTTATTAATCAAATGAGCAACAATCAGAATTGCTTCTGCCTAGAATTCACTAGGAGATGAAGTAGAGAGTAAAAGAGAATGGGTCGTCTCAACAATATGTCAATGTTTCCTTTTGATAACACCATTTTGTTCGGGAGTATCGTACAAGCACTTTGGTAAATGGTTCCATTAGAAGCAAGCAAATCAGAAGAGACGTTAGAAATATACTCTCCACCAAATCACATCGAAAACCTTTGATAATAGCAGAATGTTGAGTTTTCACAAGTGCTCTAAATGTACTAAAAATACTAAAGAAGTTATAGCGATATTTCATAAGAAAGACCCAACAGTATTGAATGTAATAATCGATAAAGGAAACATAATATCGTGAACCCCCTTTAGTGGTAATTGGAGAAGGTCCCCATACATCAGCATGAACAAGATCAAAGGGGCAACTGAAACAGAAATACTTTTATTGAAAGGTAACGCAAAAAATTTTGTTAATTTGTATCCACGACAATCAGAAATATCATCTATTTTCAAATTTCCTAATGCTCCTGTAGAAACTAAGAACTTTAGACCAGATGCCGAAATATAACCAAGGTGGGAATGCCATAAATATAAGGTAGAAGATAAATGACTCAAACAAAAAGATGACAAATCAACACTAGAAGCTGCAATTTATGGTACTTTAAACTTATCCAAAACATAGAGTCCCCTTTGCCTACGGCTGATCCCAATCAGCTTCTAAGACTGCGGATCCTATACATAATAAGTAGAAGAAGAAAAGGAGACCGAATATCCAGATTCGCATAATTGGCTAACAGAAACAAGATTTAAGCTAAGACTAGGAATATGGTAGACATCATTGATAGAGAAACAATGCGTATTAACGGAACCAACACCTGCTATAGGTATAGGAGTACCATCAGCAGTCACAACTAACACAAAAGACTTAGGAGATAATGAAACAAAAAATGATAAATTAGGTGACATATGATGGGAAGCCCCAGAATCAAAGACCCACAAAGAGGATGATATACCCGAAGAACTAGAAGATGACAAACCTATAGAAGAGGCAGACATTGCACTTGGCGGTGTTGCATTTGACTGTGATGCTAGATGCTTCTTAAAAGGCTCAAAGATTAGTGGATCTACTGATGGTGCAACCACTACAGTATTAAGTTGAGGTGGTTGGTTTCCAAAATTCCATGGAGGAAGAACCTGTTGTTGGGGCCGTTGTTGTTGCGTCGTTGTTGGGGTGGTTGTTGTGTAGCTCTATTCAACAATAAAGGACATTGTCCCTTCCAATGACCTTTTTGCTTATAGAAACGACATTCATCATATGCAACATTCGAAGGCGACCTACTTTGATTACTGGCATGTGACCTCTGAGGTGCTACGAATACAGACAGAGTAGTAGATGATGGAGCAGTCCGCTTGTCTGTGTGAGATTTAAGGCA